GGAATGAGCTCACTGGGCCCTGAATCCCTTAAGCCCTAAACCCACACACTTGGCGCATTTTTGCAGTTGCAATTGGAGGTTCGTGGGTAGTTAGACGTAGGGTTATAAGTACCCCAACTACGGTTTTCCGTATAGTAGCCATACTTATGACCCTACTTATATCTCCCCCAATGAACCTCCAAGTATGGAAAGTTTTCAGCCGGCTGCTGAGGCTCTTGCGCAGTGTCTTGGATGGAAGGAATTCGCAAGCTGAGGGTCGTGCAAAAAGTAGGTCGTGATGTCGGACGTCCTCTTGTTGAGTGGTTTTGAGCCACCACATGGTTCTTACTGCACAGAAACTCAAGCCATCTCAATATAGGCCGGAGAGAAGCGGGACTGGGCTAACCGAGTCGACGTCGCTAGATAGTTGGGTTCGCTTGAGGCATTTATTCTTATATTTATATGCCCACACATATATGTACATATGTATGTATGTATGTATGTATGTATGTATGTATGTATGTATGTATGTATGTATGTATGTATGTATGTATGTATGTATGTATGTATATATGTATATATACATATAGACATATGTATATCTGTATGTACGTAGGTATGTAGTTAGGTTTGTATGTGTATGTGCATATGTATGTAGTACATATATACATATAGGGTATGTACATACATACATTGTGGTCCTATGATCTGGACTTCAGGGCTTCGGGCCTTGCGGCTTGGAGTCTGCAAGTTTTGTGGGGAATTCAACAATTCACTCGCCTTGTCACTTGAAGAGGAGGGGGGAGGGTTGCGGGGGTAGGGTTCAGGGTTGAACGGGTTACGGGGTATGGCAGGGTGAAATGTGCTATGTCTTCTGGTGGCTGTGGCAAGATTAAGCAATCAACATGCCTGCGGCAGTTGGCAGGCAAGGTAACTTGCATGGAAGTAGGTGCAGCCAGGGTAGAAGGAGCAGAGCAGGCAACATGTGCGGACTGGAAACCTGAACCCTGAACCCTAAACCCTAGCTTCTTTTTCTCGCTCAAATGGCTGTCCGAGGCTTTCGCCGGTTTTCTTACACCCTGACACGCACTTAGTGCGTCCGGCTCAACAGATACAAGTACTGGTTTCACAATCCCTAAGACCTAGGGCCCGTATCAGTCTAAGTCTACTTACAACTAAGGGGGATAGGGCCCTGATCTAAGTCTACCTGTAATTATTGGGGCCCTCTGAGCGGATGCTCAGGTGATGGTCGGGTACTCGCCGTGGGCAGCAACAGCGACGGACAGCGTGATGTCCCTGCAGATGTCTAGCTCTTGGGTTTAGTAAACCATTACACCCTAAACCCTAAACCCTAAACCCTAAACCCTAAACCCTAAACCCTAAGCCAACGTTGTGAAGGGAGAGGGTATGCAGGGTGCGCAGAAAGAGTGCGGGAAAGCAGCTTTGAAGTCAGAGGCGAAGTCCAAGGGAGTCCCAAAGTAACGAACGGAGCTCCATCCATTCTTGAAAAATTAACTACTGTTTGATTAAGAACTCCAAATAACACCAGACAATTTGTCCCTGTATTGCCCTTGTAAGGAAGGATCTGTTTCATGTTTTGGGGGTTCTTAAGCGTTACGGGGTCTCTGAGCTCTCTGGGAAATTTTATAGAAAGCCCCCCCCAAAGTTGGAGGGGCTCCCAGTGGCTGGACAAAGCTTCCGGCACCTGCGTCCAACAGGGATGCACGAAGTCAGAGCATCGCACACGCGACAGAAGGAAACCGGCAACCCCTAAACCCTGCTTGCAGGCTCATTTCGGTCGTTCTAAGGAGGAACAACGTACCCAAATATGGGGTTGCCAACTTAAATGAGCCTTCAGGCTCAAGCAGCTGGCTACTTGCCAAGAGTGTCAATGGGGGGGGGGGGGGGGGACGGGGGGGTGGTATATGTCTCGGCTCTTGTAATAGTTCACTAGTACATGCGCATTTACATATATGTTTTTGTTACAATATATGGCATTCGATTCGAGATTATGCTATTCGATTCTAGATTTGCCCACGAAAAAAGGACGGGAGAGCACGCACTTGTAACACATGAGAGTGATAAAAAAAAAAAAAAAAAAAAACATGAACATATGTACATATGTCTATACACATGCACTTTATGTACCAGTAGCTTGTCTCAGGTTTCGTTTGTCGCCCTAACCCTAGACCCTAAACCCTAAACCCTAAACCCTAAACCCTGCAAACCTCTGGCTGTCCAGAGATCCTTGGAGACCACCGAGGCGCGGGCTATGGGCAGGAGACGTGCGCGTGGTGTGATATAGGAGACCTGCAGGGCTGAGACGTAATGGCCTCAAGAAAATTAGAACAATCTAGGCTTTAGGGTTTAGGGTTTGGGGTTTGGGGTTTAGGGTTTAGGGCTACAAGTTTAGGGGCCTGAACAATTAGAATGGGATTTTGGGGCTTTATCGTAGAAATTACAAAGGGACCATAAGAAAATACAGTCAGTAATTATTCCGGCCCCTATATTGGGGCTTCGGAGGTTGTAGGGCGTAGGCTTTGCGGGGGTTAGGAGAGGTTTGAGGGTTTGGGAGCTTAGGAGTTTTCCCGTGCTCGACAAGGAGCTAGGAGGTTTTTTGTATAGGGTTTGGAGGTTTTTGTTTTTGTTGCGGGCATGGGTTCCCTGAAATATTGCAAGCGAGCCTGGTTCAGGAATATTCCTTTGATCAGTTGCGTCTTATTTCTTATTCAAAGGCATATATCAATCAGTCATCTTCATGTGTGGAATCTGAATTCGGGGGGGTCGGGGGAAAGGGGGGTTGCATACAGTACCTGACAGCCTTCACGTGGTCGTCATAGTCGTGCTGTTCAGCACCAGCACAGTAAATTCCAAGCAGTTGGAACATTCTTCTCCCCATACCCCAAAAGGTATATTCCACCTCTAATCATCCTAAAGCCATGTTACAACTTTCTGGAGTTTGCTGTAAGGCTTGGAAACCCTTTTGACTAAGTAGTTCTCCTCAGTATCCCCTAGAAGCCCTCAGTAACCCCCAGAACCCACCGACGAACCCTGCTTAGCAAGCCCTCAGGCCTTCCAAGTGAGGCCTTGATGGTCCCAGTGGTACTCTTTACCCGGTTTTTGGGTTATGGGTTCCCTGCCCGAAAACCTAAACCCTAAACCATAAACCCCCAAAAAGGGTGCCCTTCTTAGAATGTGGTTCTGGGCAGGTAAGGCAAACAGGGCCAGTGGTGCTCCATGCGGATGGATGTGGTCATGACTTACCCCAAAGCCTAGGGTTCAGAGTTTAGGGTTGAGTGTTTTAGGGTTACTGTTTAGGGTTTGGGGCGTTTGTTTAGGCCGCGATGTCGGGCATAAGGATGCCGGGATCGTTCACAAGGCCCTTCCCCGGCCTTTCCACACCTGCCTGGCTTGCGTGGGCTTCAGGGGGCCTGTGGGGGTTTAAGCGGTTTTTTGATTTAGGGCTTTGGGAGGGCCTCCACACCCTTAATTCGAAAACTTCCCTGGGCTTGGGCCCTAAACCCTTAAGACCCTCTGAACCCTGCAAGCCCTGTAAACCCTAAATCAACCATACAAGCCCCACGATACCGAAAACCCTAAATCCTACTTGGAGTTCATGGGTAGTTTAAGTAGGGTTCTAAGTACCCTAAGTAGGGTCATAAGTAGAGTTACCATACTCAGAACCCTACTTACTTGGAGGTTCTTAGCACTACTAACCAATTATAACTGTACTTATAAACCCTATATAATACCCCTAAAGGGCCTATAGGGATTATCCCAATTATAAGTAGGGTTATAAGCCCAGTTATAGGTGGTATTACGTCCGATGAACCTCCAAGTATAAACTACCCAAATGAACCTCCAAGTGTAAGCCCGGCCGTGGCGGAGGATACCACGCGCGCAGCATGGCGCGACGGAGTGCAAGGAGTGTGGCTCGGATCGCTGAAGCCCTCCCTTTTGGCTGATTTTTTTGGGGACGGGGGTTTGTGTTTAGGGATGAGAGGTGAGGGCTTAGGGCTTATCCGGCTTAGGGTTCTGGGTTTTAGTGCTTGGATCCTTCAAGAGCTTCAGGCACATGCCTGGATTAAGGGTTGTCGGCTTATGGGTGTGCTAATGTTTTGGGTGTTTATAGGGTTGCGGGGTACGTTCGGGAGGTGGGCCCCGCCGCACGAAATCTCCCAGCAAGCATCGTTGACAAGCTCCGTGCACGGGAACAGAGACGCATGTGAGTACGTACTGTCATCTATACTTACATGTACACACTTGTTGGAACCAATCCTCAACCCTAAAACCCTAAACCCCAAACCCCATACCACGGGGCCAAGCAGCCTCGAGGCTATGACCCCAAACGCCAAACCCCAAACCCCACCCCAACCCCAAACCCCAAACCCCAAACCCCAAACCCCAAACCCCAAACCCCAAACCCCAACCCCAAACCCCAAACCCTAAACCCTAAACCCTAAACCCTAAACCCTAAACCCTAAACCCTAAACCTAACCCTAAGCCCTAAGCCCCACCCTAAAGGTTATTCCATTTTCATGCCCATGAACCTCCACGATTGACTTCGACAGCTGCGAGCTTGACGCCGAGGTGCGAGAGTGACGGACAAGTGCTGAACTTGCTTTTGGTGTTTACCCAGAGAGCCCAAAACCCCTTAATTAAGCAATATTCTTGAAGCCATATAGGGATCCTTAGTATGACTTATGAATATTCCTTAATTAAGGAGTATTGGCTCTTTGGGTACTTGGAGGTTCATTTTGGTAGTCAAAAGTACGTTCTAAGTCAGTTCTAAGTACGGTCACTTTACGTACTGTTAACCCTACTTAGGGTACTCATAACCCTCCTTATGACTACCCAAGTACCTCCAAGAAGGGGTTGTGCCTTAGGCTAGACTTTTCATGTGAGGGACATGCTGAGCGCAGTTTTTTTGGGGGTTCTCCCGCCGCCCTGAATCCGAGATTGCCTGCCCTAAACCCTAAACCCTAAACCCTAAACCCTAAACGGGTCAGGCCGTAGTGGCCATGGTCTTCATGCTGCTCGCCATGATGTGGGTGTGGCTGCTTCTCCCTTACATTTTTCGCTTCAGTGCCGCCCCCAGTGGATGATTGAGCAGGGCTTGCCATGTCCCAAGTTTTCGGGATACCATGCCGCCTAATTTTTCTGGGTCTGCTTGACTGAGAGGAATTGTCAGTGTTTCCGAGAACCCTAAACCCCTAAACCCTTAACCCTCAACACTAAGCTCCCAGAAGCCTAAGTCCGCATCCTCGAACCCGGCCAGCACCCACGCCGTTGGCCAACTTTGATGCGATTCAGGGAATGGAGGTACCCTTCTGGGGTCCCCTGTTAGGGGATTCCATTCCATATGGTTTAAGGCATATTCCTGAAGTGAGGAGGTGTTAAACCCTAAAGCCTAAACCCTAAACCCTAGACCCTAAGGGCTCTTAGGGGAGTGTACGGAGCTCTTCAAGCTGGCGGGGCGAAGGTGCCTAAAAAAGCCCTCTGGCTCGCGGAATGTCTGGCGCCCTCAGCGGGTTTAAGAGGTTTGGCACCTCAAACCCTGTAAACCCTGCCTTGAACCCTATAAACCCTACCCTTAAACCCTATAACCCTATAAACCCTATAAACCCTACCCTTAAGCCCTATAAACCCTGCCTTAAACCCTATGTAAACCCTATGCCGAATCTGTTTCAGAGGCTGCTGTTTTGTTTAAACCCTAAACCCGAAACCCTGCCCCTCGTTCGGCTGGCACCGCCCTCAGTCCACGCATCCAAGAGCTTCTCCCTTTTGTGAGCGGCAGCCCAGCTTTGATGAACTTGTTGAGGTTTTTCGGGTTTAGAGTTTAGGTTTCACCGTTTAGGGTTCGCCGGCTCGGTGTTGTCAAGAGGCTCTGGTCTATGCTCTGGAGGCTTCTGCCAAGCTGCGTGAGCGCTGCCCCCCCCCCCCCTCCCGAAAAAAAAACGACAACAGTCACCCTACTACTTCTGCTGCAGGGGTCGCCGTCGACGATGCCACTGGGTTGCAAGGACCTGACATGAAGGGTTTCTAGGTGGACCTCGGCCTAAACACTTAGACAAAACCTGAAACCCTAGGCCCTAGACCCAAACCCTTGGCCTTACCCTCAAAGCTCAACCCTGTGGGGTCACGGACTATAGTTATTTAGTTATAAGGCGTTTGTGAACCCTGAAATGAAGCTCAGACGTTACGAGGTCTACGTCGAGCAGGCGGCAGGCGAGAAAGGGCGTTTAGACTCGGTTGCGGGCCTCGAGTCAGGCTTAGGCAAGCAGGGCACCGGGTGTGGGGTTAGGGGTTCGGGTTTAGGGGTTCAGGAACCCCAGGCAAAAAAGGAATGAGGGGCTTCCGAGTTAGGGTGTTGGGGCTTCGGGAGTTACATCAGGGCCGCTTAAGTAGGCAACCACTTTAATTCTAGATGGATCGAAGCCCTTGACCCTCAAGACACCAAGCACCCCAATATCCAATACCGGCTTTCTGGGAAAACTAGACTCGAGTTTGGTACGGCGGAGTATCATGGGCGAAGTTTTAAGGCCAGCTACTTGGAGGTTCTTGGGCAGTTGTACGTAGGGTTAAAAGTACCCGAAACAGCATGAAGAGTCGAGATACCATATACTCATAAGCCTACTTATCACCACCCCTGAACCTCCAAGTGCAGAGAGGCTGCCCCTAAACGCGAACCCTAAACTCTAAACTCTAAACCCTAAGCCCTAAACCCTAAACCCTAAGTACTCCTGTCCCTCGGGGTAGTGTCAAACAGGATGCCCAGGATTAATGGGCATCACTTACAGCAACCCGAGGGAGTGTAATGTATTGGTCGGAATGACTACGAGTATTCCCTTTTGGTCCCTTGTACTTATACTATAAAAACTCCCCAAGACCCTATTCTAGCTGTTAAGGCACCTTTTTAGTAGTTGACAGTTGCCCCCAATATCCACAGCACAGCTGGCACAGCCCCTCGCAAAAACCTCGCAAGAGTCAAGCTATGCCTTGAGGTTCTTTATATCATCTCCAGCCTTCAGGGTTTAGGGTTTAGGGTTGGGGTTTAGGGTTTAGGGTTTAGGGTTTAGGGTTTAGCGTTTAGGGTTTAGGGTTTAGGGTTTAGGGTTTAGGGTTTAGGGTTTAGGGCATACACTCACTTTTCGGAATGCTTGCCAGGGATTGCGTAGGAAACCACAAAATCTTCTAAGAACAGTTGAGGTGCGCTCCCCCCCCCCCCAAGCCCTAAACCCCAACCGCTATACTCATGAACCCTGTACTTCTACTAAACCCCAAACCCTAAACCCTAAACCCTAAAATTTACCAGGCCCCAGAGCTGTGGACCCCCCTGCAAGGCCGGAAGCGCATCTTGATCCGCACACGAGGACGCCCAGGGCCGCGGCTGGGCCGAGCGGTTAGGAGGTTTAGGGTTTAGGGTTTTTAGGGTTTTTAGGGTTTTTAGGGCCTTTAGGGTTTTTAGGGTTTTTAGGGTTTTTAGGGTTTTTAGGGTTTAGGGTTTAAACTTAGGGTTTAGGGTTTAAGTTTTAGGGGTTCAGGGGCAAAAAAGGGTTAACCCCTTAATATTAGGCCCCCTACCGTCTTTAAAGGGTTCTGATGTATGGGCCTTTGGGTTGAGCCCAGAGAGCCCAAAACCCCTTAACTAAGCAATATTCCCTAAACCATACAGGGATCCTTAGTATGATTTAAGGAATATTCCTTAAATAAGGGGAATTGGGCTCTTTGGGTGCAGGGTGTATAAGGGAGGTAACCTACCATATAAGGGGTCCCCATTTACGCGCCCATACTCAATGTGGGCGGGGAACCCCAAAGCCGGGTTGAGGAAAATGACAAAGAAGAAGGGAGTTAGGGTTTAGGGTTTAGGGTTCAGGGTTCAGGGTTCAGGGTTCAGGGTTTAGGGTTTAGGGTTTAGGGTTTAGGGTTTAGGGTGGAAGTGCACTCTGTGAGTGAGGGCCCATGACAAACGTAGACTTACGTACGCCATGCTTTCACACTGGATGTCGAGATTCGGCGCGCCTCGCAGGGAGTGACCCTAAACCCGAAACCCTAAATCCCAAACCCTAAACCCTAAGCCCCAAACCCTAAACCCCAAGCCGCAGGACATCACTGGCTGTCAGGGCCGAACTTTTCAAGGTGCCGCGGGCGCTCCAGGCCTGGCATTAAAGGGAAGTTTCGCTGACTGGACCACAGAATCTACCAGGGAGTTTAGGGTTTAGGGTTTCCTAAATCGGGTGTGAAGAGTCGGTACCATTAGTTTTAACACTAACACTACTTATTAACTACCCTTGAACCTCCAAGTAGACCTCTTAAGTCAGGGTTTTGAGTTGTGGGGGTTTCCAGGGTCTTTTGGGTCCATAAACACATAGCGGGTCTTACTATGGTGTTAAGGCGGCATATGCCTTATCAAGCGATGTTGGAAGACCCTAAACCCTAAACCCGGCCCTATACCCTACACCCTAAACCGGGTTCTAGCTGCAGAACTGCACAGGAAGAGGAAGAGCCCACACGCTCCTGACATTTCTGTGCCTGCTGCGCATCCCTGACAGGAAGATCGTTTCTCTAGACCGCGTTGACAGCACGGCAACGACAGTAAGCAGCTTGCCCTTTGAGAGGTGTCTGGCTTCTGCGCACATGATATGGAATGCATCCAGTTGTGCTACAGGTGAAGATACAGCCAGCCAGTCCGCTCAATTGTGGTCCAACTTCTTGGAATTACTAATTTAGTATAGCACAGAGCCGCGTTGCGGAGCCTTAAATTTTAGGGAGTCCTCGAAGGCATCATTCTCAGAGAGCCGGTCACATCCGTCCTGCTGAGGCCCAGAGCCTCATAAGTTCATCAAGGAGTACGTACACACACATGGGCACAAACAGTTTTTCAAAGTGTTTATTTTAAATGCATGGAGATGGGATCCTCATTCCGATGAAGGCACATTCCTAAAACTCAGGGTCCTGGGCTCTGAGCGACTGCGCGGACTCAACTGTGCCAGATGAACCCTAAACCCGAAGCCCAACAGTCGGACACCTGATGTGCTACCCTGCAGCATCTGCTAAGCTGGTGGCCATGAAAAATGAGCTCAAACCCTAATCTCCGAACCCGCAGCCCCAAGTTCCTAAACCCCTTGCAGGTTCGTGGGTAGTCAGAAGTAGGGTTACAAGTGCCCTATATTCGAGTTATAAGTATAGATACCACACCTCTAGCCCTACTCAAAAATCAGCTTAAACCTCCAGAAATGTCGGTTTGCAGCTGGTATTTCGGCCTTCGGGAGCTCAGACTCTGATTGAACGCCGGCGGCTCTGTGTATAACGACAGCCATCGTAGTAGTCGAAGTGAGAGTCATACTCACCAAACTCGGGGTAGCAGTAATACCAATAGCAAGAGCAAGAGTGATGGTCAATAGAAATTTCAGTCTTTCACCCCCCCAAAAAAAAGGGAAAAATAGAAACTATTCAAAACAAAAGGCCCTAAAAGTCCTAAACCGCCTAAAGCCCTAGAACCCGACAGCCCTAACACTCTTAAACCCTGAACCCCCAAACCCTACGCACGGGTTGTTCAGAGTGCCGATCCTAGGCGGCAAGAGCCAGGCATCCATAACCATCGAGCGCCCTGGCCTGCCTGTTTTTTTTTTTTTTTTTTGGGGGGGGGGGGGGGAGGGGGGGGGGGGGGAGGGGGGGGGGGGGGGGGGGGGGGGGGAGGGGGGGGGGGGGGGAGGGGGGGGGGGAGGGGGGGGGGGGGGGGGGGGGGGGGGGGGGCGGGGGGGGGGGGGAGGGGGGGGGGGGGGAGGGGGGGGGGGGAGGGTGGGGGGGGGGAGGGGGGGGGGGGGGGGGGGGGAGGGGGGGGGGGAGGGGGGGGGGGGGGGGGGGGGGGGGGGGGGAGGGGGGGGGGGTGAACTTGCTTTCACACACACACACATATATACATATATATATATATATGTATACGTTGATACATGTTTATGTACATATGTGTTTTGTATTTATGTAAAGAAGATAAATAAATGACCAGCGACAATTCCGGCGCATTCCCGAAACTGGATACCTGGAACCATTGGGAACCGGTAGGGTCCAGGATCTGTTTGGGCCTGGTCTTTTGTTTGCAGTGAGCGTGGCAATGTTCTTCTACCCTCCTTGCCGTATCAGGGCAGGCTTATTCTCATGTATACCATGCTTGGATCTCGTCTCAGATCCGGATGTTCCAGACTCCAGACTCCAGACTCCAGTTGGTGGCATGTCGAGTGTGTGTGTGGTGTCAGACCAAGATGCCTGGGCCCTGTCTGTGTGAGACTTGAGTCGTGTCTGGCCCGGCCTCACAGAATGGGCTATTATACCCTATGTATGATCCCTTACACGGCCCTTTCTAGGGTTCGTTATGGGATTTTTAAGGCCTAATAGCCCATCCTGGTGCACAGGAATGCCATGCACGTCTCGGTTTCGCAAACTGCGAAGGTCCCTGTGCAGCTCCTTGTCTGCAGCTCCGAGAGATGTTGGGATGCTCCCCTAGGGTTTAGGGTTTAGGGTTTAGGGTTTAGGGTTTAGGGTTTGGGGTTTAGGGTTTAGGGTTTAGGGCTAGCCTTGGTAGCCCAGCGGTACCCTTTACCTTTTTTTGGTGTAAGGTTCCCTTGTAAAGTGACCAACCCGAAGGTGCCCTTATTATAGTATGGTTACTGGGCTACTAAGTTACTAACGGATTATAGCACCCCCTCACTACAATCCCTATTAAGGAGCTGTTTATAAGGTTATACTCACGCTCCTTAATAGGAACTATAGCACTCCCTACTACAATCCCCATTAAGGAGCTGTTAGTATAAGGGGGAACCCTAAACCCTAAACCGTAATCCCCTATTACAAACCCTATTAAGGAGCTGTTAGTATAAGGGGGAACATCCCAAACTGGAAGGAAAGTCTGACATCTTGTGTGGATTCCCGAGAGAGGGGAGCCGTCGCATGGACAGTCAAGAGTGTGCGGGAACATGCATTGCGAGTGCTCATGTTTTCGAGGTTAAGGGTTTCGGGTTTAGGGTGTGGTGCTTCACGTAGTTTGTTCGGCTCTCGGACAGACAGAGATGCAGTGAGCGAGCGACAGACGAAGAGACAGAGAAGAAGAACTGAATAGGGCGAAGAGGCATGCTAGACGGTTTAACCCTACACCCGTAAAGTGTGGTTGCGAAGCTGCTATGCAGTTGGCAAAGAACCCTAAACCTGTAGATAGACCGAGTTTCATAGGCTTTGCGCGACAAGGTTTCGCAACACGCACCATCCCTTCCTGGGCACGAGCAGCGCCAGCGAGGAGACTTTTTCCTTTAACCCTATAAGCCTTTTCAGGAGATCCCGCAGCCGCAGCCCCCCTAGAAGCCCTGGCTTTTGTTCGAAACCCATCACAAAAATCCTTTACGGCAACCCCATACATAAAGGCCAAGATCCCTTGGTACCCTTGTTTAGGGTTTGGGGTTTAGGGTTATAGGGTTTAGGGACTGACCTCAGACCAGTGGCAAAAGGGTTTAGGGACTGTTACTCGGTTTAGGGTTTAGGGGCTGTTGCTCTTGCACACCTCCGACTTCCAGCCTTGCAAGCTTGCGAGGAGTCTTGGTCCATGAATTCAGCTGCCGCGCTGGCATCGCAAGTTGCCCAAAACTTGGTGGAGCAGGCGCACGGAGAGACGGCAGAGAGAGAGAGAGAGATACACGCACGCACATATATAGATATACATATATATATATATACCCAGATATTATAATACAGTATAATATAATATAATATAGTATAATATAAGATCGACACATATTTATTTGTTTCCTTCCTTTTACACGTGTTATATAATGTATTCATGTATAAAGGGATGTGAATGTGTACATATGTATGTATATATATATATATATATAGATATGCAGGGTTTAGGGTATAGGTTTTAGGGACAAGTATAGGCTGCCTGCAAAGATTGGCGTTGAAAGGCGATCTGGACAATGGGTTGGCTTTGCTTTGAGCAGCTGCAAGGGCTCTGGCCATCGCCAGATCTCATGCGCGTTGACATCATGCCTCTGTTGCTACAGAAGCCTTCACAACTACCAAAGATATCCCCTGCAATCCTCATTTGAAGACTACACAACTACCAAAAAACATTGCCCCTGCAATCCTGATCTTAAATATTCGGAATACACTACTCAAACGCTCCATTCCAATTTGCCGCGTGTGGTGTCTGAAACACTAAACCCTAACCCTAAACCCTGCAAAAAACCCTAAGACTTAAGCGTAGGCCCGGACGCCGAAGGGTCTAAGTTGTCAACCGCATATCCCAGTTGAACCGCATTTGTACCTGGCACCCATGCGGCTTCTTTGGGTTTAGGGCTTACCCTAAACCCTAAACCACCCTAAACCCTAAAACCTGAACCCTAACATCGGGTTCCAGGGCTTAGTGTTTGGGGATGAACGGGGTGCCTTTGCCGAGGTGGTGTCCCCGTTCCAAGGCCACGACGCAGCTGGGGTTGCTGCTACCAGGGGGGCGTAGTTTGGGGTTTAGGCTCTAGGTTCTCTTAGCTGTAGTTAAGAGGGATTCTGGTTGTGGGGGGTGCCCTTATCTTAATATTATGGTTGCTGGGCTGCCTACTTATATCTAACCATGAATCCTGAAACTGCAAGTACGGGTGGACAGACGTCGGGTTTCGGGTTTCGACAACTTCGGTGGCGACAGTGGGGTCGGTGGGCTTTGAGCATAAACCCCAGCACCCCATCAGTATCAGGAGGATAGACGCTAAACCCTGAAACCCTAAAAGCACAAGCCCCAAATGGGGGTTTACGAACATAGGGGACCCCCCAGTATAGATGCTCAAATAGTAGGATCCCCTTATATAAATTAGGATTTCAATATGGTATCCCTAAACCCTAAGCCCTCACGCCCTAAACCCTAACCCTAAACCCTACATGGGTATTCGGAGACCCCCCCTCCCCCCCCCCCCCCCCCCCCCCCAACAAAAAAAATAACAGTTCTAAGGCCGACGCCACAAGATCTTCAAAGAACTTCGTCCAGCCGTTGACATCTCGGCATCTGCTGCTCGATGCAGGGGTCCGTGTGGCAACCTGAAATCTTTGAGGTTTAGGGTTTAGGGGTTAGGGTTTAGGGGTTAGGGTTTAGGGTTAGGGTTTAGGGTTTAGGGTTTAGGGTAAAGTCCCAGACAGGTGTGCAATTGTCATGCCTGTTGCCCAGCGCAAGGCAAAATGCACCGTCCTTGCTGGGACTTTCTGATACAGTACGTTCCTTATAGTTCGCTGACAGTTTAGGGACAAATCCTACACTCTGAAGGGCCTATGTTTCAAGTGCGATGATCCTCAAGGCTATTTGGGGGGATCTCTAGTCTACTGATGATCCGAAAGGTTCTTCGTAGGGAATGAGGGAGTTGGGTACCTTACATCCCCTACATACCTCTTGACCCTTTTAATAGATCCTCTAAGGGAATCTAAGGGCTATATTAAGAGTATATTATGAGTATACTAGGGGAACCCTCTTAGGGTCACAACCTTGGAGGACGAGTCTTTATCATTGCCTTTATCTCCTTCGAAACAGACTGAACCTGAACCTGCACAAGTCTGAAGCCCCCATGCAGTGCAGGGTTAAGGGTTGAAGGCCTCGACAAGTTCGGGGTGTTAGGCTGTAGTCTAGACCCTACACGATTCATTTCTGTCCTCGACTTAGTTGGTGGGATTTGTTTGGGAGTGCTTGGAGCGCTCTGACGACTGATGCTACAGTAGTGTACTTCCCAGATCTTCCAAAATAGCCAAAAGAAAGGCGACAAGGATGGATCTCATGCAGGAGAGCGTTTAGGGTTCAGGGATGCAAGAAGCATAAAGGGTCATTTTTTTATGGCAAGGTATACAAGTTTTGATTCTAAACTGGTTGGGAAAGCCTGGGTCGTTCTGACGCTTGATGTGATGCATCGTGCCACGCCCCAGGCTACTTCTCACCGGGAAGGGCGTCCCAGAGGAGCCAGCAATCGCATTCGCACCGAGACCAGCTACAGACGTTTAAGGTGCAGGGTTTAGGGTTTAGGGTTCAGGGTTCAGGGTTCAGGGTTCAGGGATTGGGGCAAAAGTGTGGCGAGCGAAGCCGGAACAACGAGGCCTTCCCAGCAACTCAATTCTAGAGAGTGAGTAGACATGGTCTGAGGTTTAGGGCTTTTTTGGGTTGAGGGTTTAGGGTTTAGGGTTTAGGGCCCACCACGTCTTTCAGGGCCTCAAAGAAATCCTGGCTTGTAGAGGTCTCGAGAGGAGTCTGCAGCTTCGGCTTTTTTGTAAAGCGCGCGGGCCACACCGTGGGTTCTAAGGGGGGTAATATTTGGAGGGACCCCCTAGAAGGCACCCTGGATCCTAACTCATATACATATATATATATATATATGTAAATACCTAAGTAGTCCCAATGTAGCCCCCAAGGTCCCTTAAAAGTTCTAGTCGCTTGAATGGGCGGTGGGCTCGCGCATCCCCTGAGCTTGAGAGGGTCGTTAGTGGAAGGAGCTCCCTCTTTGGGGGTTTGTAGACCTCGAACCCTCGGCCCTCAACCCTTTTTGCAACAGGCTTGTGATTCCTCGCCCTAAGCCCATAACATCAAGCAGCATGTAACTCGGGCTGACTGTTGGGACCTTATAGGACGTATTTTTTCGGGTCATTGTTTAGCTAATGCAAAGTGGGTGCCCCTGGCCAAGAGGAGCGGGTGATCGAGACCTCGCGTGGCAGTCTTAGCGTCTTGGCTCCACCGGGAAGCTGCGGGATTCAATTGGGGGTTTCGGCTTGAGGGGGCCTGAGCCCTAAACCGCTAGGCTTTAGACTCTGGGGCATGGGGAGTTCAGGGGCATGAGGTGGCTTCAAGGTCTTCGCACACGAACGCCCTGACTCTACACCAGAGGTTCGGGGCTTCGATTTTTGGAGTTTAGGGTTTAGGGTGTGGGTCTCGAATTCCTCAAAGGTTAGCATAGCTCATCTTCTAAAATCACAGGGTCCTTAAGGGGGGCTCCTTCGGAGGCACCTCGGGAACCTTAGGGAAGCTTAGGGAGTCTGAGAGAGTACTGGGGAGTATTAGGGAACCTTGGGCTACCATTCCCCCTTGAACCCCCTCCCTTAAGGACCCTATAAATTTAGCAGCAGTCGACCCTCCCCTATGGCCCGCTCCCGAGGGGGCTGTTTAGGGTTTGTGCAAGTTCAGGCTTTACTGTAAGCGCTGAACCCCAGTTTCTGCCCAGAGCTCTTTTTTTGTTTCTTTCAACGGCACACACACACAGGGTCTCGGGTGAGCTCTGGAGCTCAGGCGTGGCATTCCCACTGACCCTCATCCGCGTCGCCCCTCTCCACGTGCCGCTGATTGGGCGGCCGGGCAGCATCTCTTCTTAGCAGCTGAGTATATCCCTAAACCCGAAGCCCTAAACCCTAAATCCTAAACCCACCTTTACCTTGGGGATCCCACCATGATTGAAAGGTTAACCTTTTTTGGGCGAGGGTACTCAGGAACCAGGAGAACGAAAAGAATTACGACCGCCGCCATCCTTTTCTGAGTCAGTTGACATCCCAAAGTGCCTCAGTATTCCCTTAATCAAGGAATAGACCGTGAATCATACTAAGGATCCCTTTTTTTAGTTTTAAGGTATCTTTTTTTGATTAAGTTGTTTTAAGGGCTCGGCTCTCTGGGCCTGTAAACGAATCTTTCCCCAAACCCGAAGCCCCAGAAAAGTTTAGCATTGTTTTCCTCTCTTCTTCGCGGGCTTCCGTGGCATCAGTCAGCATTTCCACCACAAAGCCGTCTGGCCCCGCCAGCCCTGCGTTCCTGGAGCAGTTTAGGGTTCGGGGTTTCGGGCTTCGGGGCTTGGGGTATTAGGGTATTACCTAGCGTTCAGGGGTTTAGGGTTTAGGGTTTAGGGGTTTAGGGGTTTAGGGGTTTATGGGTTTGGGGGTTTAGGGGTTTCGGGGTTCAGGGGTTCAGGGTTGCCAACTCAGGTGGCTTGTGGTTGCCGTGCTGGTCGCCACCGCGCTCCTCCAGCATTCCTGGGCCCACCCCCGGTTTAGGGTTTAGGGTTTAGAGTTTAGGGTTTAGGGTTAGGGAGACCCCTTCCCCCCCCTTCAAAAAAACAGAAAGGACCTTTGTTCACAATAACGGCCCAAGACAAATGTGTATAGATATATGTTTATACAGATATATACATAGGTATGTCCTGCAGCAGGAGGGGCCGATTCCTTGAAGGGTGTTCTGCAAGTGCTCCAGTTTGGGACGTTCTTCTTCCAAGATGCCTGACAATGCGTTTTGAGTCTCCCACATAACCTCCAGGTCTCAGACCGCGCAGCAAAGCAAGGATTCCGAAAAGTTACCAACAACTGTTCTGGCCAAGGCGGCCATCTGACTCTGTTGAAATGAGGTTTATTGCAAATATTAAGGGTTCAGGTCCGGGGAAAGTTTCGAGGAGCTTCTTTTTTTGGATTTGTTATCAATTTTTTTCAGGGGGCTTGAGGGTTTAGGGTTTAGGGTGTTTTGCGGGCAGAGGGGGCCCCAGGGGCTGTTCAAACCGACTCCTCTTTTATACCCCCGAGCCCGGTACGCTTTAGTAACAGTGAATATCATAGTTTTTGTCTTGCAAGGAAAGTCCTGAACCCTAAGCCCTACACCCTGAACCCTCAACCCTAAACCCAAAGACGTGGTTTCTCAGTGGTATCCTTTTGCCCCCTTTAATTGGTTCTGGGTTCCCTTATGAAGTAACCAATCTCCCCACAAAAAGGTGCCCATGTTGGAATATGGTTACCGGGCTACTTAGTGCAAGAAGAGTAGTACCACTAGTACACTCGTGAAGTAATAATGGTAGTAGAGTAATCATAACAACAGTAGTAAGAATAGTTTCGAGTTGAGTGCGGAGTTCTTGTAAACAGGAGCATCGCTCCGGAACATCAAGTAGCAAGTATGAATGATGTGTCCGCGGGTTGGTAGTTGGATTTGAGGTTGCAAGCTCGATAGACCCAAGCAACCCCCCCCCCCCCCCCGGCCTAGCATGTCAAGCGCAAAACAGGTACCCCGAGACCCGTTGAAGGGAAACTCACCCTTAGGCTCAAAATAGCCCAAGAACCTTGTCCAGGAAGACCCTCTGGGCCCCAAAAACACAAAATTCAGAGTCCTTAGAGTCCTAAACCTAAACCCTAAACCCTAAACCCTAAACCGAAGTTCCTTGCCTGCTTTGTGTGGTTTCCATGCCTGAGGTGCCCGCCGCTGCGACTGGTCTGGAAGCACGTTTTGTCGCAGGATGCGGTGGCGCCAGCCCCTCTGGCAACACTTGCAGGGCTACAGGGCTCATGAGGGTGTAGGGTGGAGGGTTTAGGGTTTAGGGTTTAGAGCAACATACTGAAGACTTGAAGAGCACACCTATACACCCGAATCTTAGAGAGCCACACCCTAAACCTTAAACCCTAAACCCTAAAGTGCGAAGAGGCCAAGTCATGAACATGCGCATGACTTGCTCTCCTTCGGGGGGAGGGGGGCTTGCTTTAACCACAAGGGTTTACCGACACGAACTCTCTTCAAGATACAGGACACCCTAAACCCTAAACCCTAAACCCTAAACCCCTGGAACCCTCTTGTGAAAGCTTACTCGACTCAGGGTTTGGGGTTCAGGGTTTGAGGAAAGAAGAGCCTGGGGGTTACGAGTTCAGGGCTTGGGTGATCAGGCCCTCAACGGTAAACCCTCAGGGTTTAGGGTTTAGGGTTTTAGGGTTTAGGGTTTAGGGTTTAGGGTTTAGGGTTTAGGGTTTAGGGTTTAGGGCGCCTTAACCTTGTGGCAAAAAGGTTGCAAGACCTGTTGGGAGGCCTGGTCCTGGCCCTCATCATCGCAGGGATCGCTTGGCAGCTCACCCCGTCCACGCTGCGAGCGTACAAGCTGCAGGTGCCTGGCAGGGCTCTCTAGGTAGTATGGTTAGGGTTTAGGGTTTAGGGTTTAGGGTTTAGGGTTTAGGGTTTAGGGTGTAGTTGGAACAGGGGACCGACTAGGAATCCTTCAGAATCATTCGCCATAGCCAGTCAGCCCAATATGCTTGAGTTAAGGATATCCCTTGTATATCCACACGTATCACACTGCACTCCTTAATTCAGGAGTGCTGTCTCTTAGGGTACAACTCCCACTCTTCGCCGCAAAGCACCCATAGGTGCATCGAAGGAAGCCCACACCCGCTTCTTGTGCCCTTTACCTCCCACGTCTGGCGACCTGAATCTAAGGGAGGTTACATGGTCCCTTCGTATGGTCCTTTACCTTCTTCAGAGGGGTTCTGAAGCATGGCCTCTTGGGTTACTTGGGGTTTTGGGGACAAAGTAGGGGTACAAGGTCTCCCCATTAAGTCAAGGGACCATGTAATTGCCCTAAGATGAAACGGTGCACGGAGGGGACCCCCATTATAAGGGCTTGAATTGGGTTACAAGTACAAAAGCTCGTAGAAATCCCTTATTTATAGCCAGCTCCCTAAACACTACAGCCTTAAACCCTCAAAAACAAGCCCTAAACCCTAAACCCTAAACCTTAAACCCTAAACCCTACACCCTGAGCCCAAGTCGTGAGAGTCCTTATCGACTGCCAGGAGCACGAGAAGGAGCTTCAGAGGGCAACTTGCGACAGCTTTGGGTTTGGGGTTTAGGGTTTAGGGTTTAGGGTTTAGGATTTAGGGTTTAGAGTTTAGGGTTTAGGGTTCAGGGTTCAGGGTTTAGGGTTTAGGGTTTTTTGGTTTGGAGTTTGGAGTGTTGTGCTTGGTAGAAAGGCTTAGGAGACTGGGCAAAGGGCCAAGGGTCTATAGGCAGTGTACTACCTTGCGCGACGCGCGCGAGGTGGTTATTGCATGTATTTGCCCTGTGGGGCTTGCCTGCCCTTAACATTCCTTCCGCGGACTCCGTGTCATGCACGCTGCAGAGGCCGAGAAGGACCCGACTCGGCCATCTTAGGGATACTTGGGAATGGCAATTTAATTTTTGGGGCACTAGAATGCCTAAGAAGCAGCAAAAATCTCAATATTTGCTAGGGTTCCAAGTTCAGTAGAGCCATACACATGGTGCCCTGCGACTCTGAGCTTGTTCCTGGGCCCTGGAGTCCCCCCCCCCCCAAGAAAAACCTAAACCCATACAACATGGTACAAACCCTAAACCCTAAACCCTAAACCCTAAACAGCCACCAAGGAACTCCGTACTTCCGGAAATCCCTGAAATCCCTCCGCGAAGCTTAGACTATAAGCCCTAAAACTGCACGGCAAAGAACACAAGCAACTCGAAACCTCATCCAAAAACCTGTCTAGTTTAGGTTTAGGGTTTAGGGTTCAGGGTTCAGGGTTTAGGGTTTTTGGGGTTTAGGGTTTATAGATCCCCAACCACAGGTTGATTTGGCACAAAACATTGTAGCGTCCTGCGCCTTTTTCAGTTGTCTAGCCCCCCCCCCCCCGGGCTTATCCCAGATCCGCCACAGCAACCCCGAAATCCCAAGACTCTAAAGCGTGATGCAAGAAGAAACATCACACAGCCCAAAAAACCCTTCCAATCAAAAATGCAAGCTTAAACAGCCTGTCGCCCGCAACTCTCGAACCGAAGACAACAAGCACATAAAAGCCTAAACAGTAAACCCTGAAGACCATCAACCCTATAACCCCAATATACCTTAAACCCTCAAAAAACCTAAACCTACACCCCTACACACCCGAAGCAACCCTAATTAAACTTCCTTCATCACCCAGGCAAACCCCGAGCCAAGCTCTTGCCCCCGCGGCCCTGGCCGTGCGGTGCGTGCGGGCCAACTGCCGCTCGGAGAGTCGGGTTTAGGGTTGAGGATTAGAGTTTATGGTTTAGGGTTCAGGGTTCAGGGGTTCCGGGGCGAGAGGGCCTAGGGTCTTAGGGCTTGGGGTTTAGTGTGCTAGGTTAGGGTTCATGGGGGCATGCGCCGAAACCCTGAACAATGAACTCTAACAAGCTAACTCTCCGAGCCACGGTTTAGGGTGCGAGAGCCCGTAAGGACACGGCATGACACAGCATCCTTGAAGTATGGGTATTGAACCCTAAACCCTAAACCCTAAACCCTAAACCCTAAACCCTAAACCCTAAACCCTATAACCCTATAACCCTATAACCCTAAACCAGGCATTGTTTTCGACTCGGCCCTGAACATCTCAACCCGAAACATGCCGATACGATCAAACCTGTCAAGGGTTTAGGGTTTAGGGTTTAGGGTTTAGGGTTTAGGGTTTAGGGTAGGCTAAAGAAGGCCTCAGCGCCAGCCTACACCCCTGAATACGGGACGTCTGAAAACTCCGTTTAACTTGCGTCCGTTTAAGTTGCAAAGTCTCAGGAAACTCACCCCTCTGCATGGAAACCTTTCTCTTCAAAACTGCCATGCTTCGTCGTTGAGCAGCAAACCTTGCACCTCCGAAAGCATTTTGCCTCAACGCACGATACGGCGGTTGTTGCGGTGGTTTTAAATGAAGAAGGACCCCCCCCCCAGCCTTATAGATTTATTAGTGCCTCCGAGACCAAGGTTCCCTATACAAGGGTCTTTGCCCCTTGAACTCGTATGCGTACAACTCAACCCTAAGACGAAACCGCACTGGACACCCCAACAGGGCCTAAAACCCTAAACCACACTAGACCAAAAGGAACCAAAACCCTGAACTGGACCCTTCCGAAAGGACCCCATACTTTAGGTCACTGGATCACCCAAGCGACGCAACCCGAGGTGGAAGTTTTACGCCACCTTCGAGCCCTTGATCCGCCTCTCCGCTTGGCAAATCGGGGATTCCTCTTGGCAGGACCGTTGGATCTTCCACTATTCTTGATTCCCTTACTAGATCTTGAACGGACCTTATTTGGCTTGGTATAGCTTGGTAAGACCTTCTGCCGTTTCCCTTATTAGATCTTTAGAGGATCTTAAATTTAGGAATTATTGCTGTTTGCCTTAATTATTGGATCTTCAAAGGAATCTTATTTAGAGTTATTTCTGTTTCCCTTATGAGATCTTTAAAGGGAACCTGTTTGGGAATGATTTCTGTTTCCCTTATGAGATCTTTAATGGGATCCTATTTGGGAATGATTTCTGTTTCCCTTATTAGATCTTTAATGGGATCCTATTTGGGAATTACTTCTGTTTCCCTTACTAGATCTTTAAAGTGAATTATTTCTGTTTCCCTTTTTTTGATCTTTAAAGGGACTTATTTCTGTTTCCCTTTTTAGATCCTTAACGGGATCCTATCTAGGAATTACTCTTGCCGAGGGCTTTCGGAGCCATCCTTGGGCTTTTTGGGCCTCGGGAAGCTCTGAGGCTTGAGGTGCTGGGATGGGCACTGCTTCTGCGTGCGGAAAAAGTATCTGAAGCCCTAAACCCTAAACCCTAAACCCTAAACCCTAAACCCTAAACCCTAAACCCTAAACCCAAAGCTTGAGTTTTCTTTGCCAGAAGATGGGCATTTATTTGGGCCCTCTGTGCGTCAGCCAGGCTAAGCCTGTCCCAAGCGAAAAGCTACAATGTATGCATGTGCTATACACAATACCGAGGCGGGGGGGCGGTTCCAAACATGGGGTGGTCCCGTTTTTGGGAAGAGTTCGGCTACATCAGGGGGGTATGATGGGGCTACAAAGCCCAGAAACCCTTGCTGCATGCAGTTCCAACAAGTCTTGGGGCCTCCGGGGGCAGCAGAAGAGAAGGTGGGGTATAGGAAGGGTTGTGAGGAGGTTATGTTTCCATATGCTAGGGTTTAGGGATTTCAGGGTTTAGGGGTTTTCGGGCTTAGGGATTTAAGGGTTTAGAGTTTAGGGTCAAAGAGTGTCTGAATGCAGCAGAGGCCGAGGTTGAATCTCTCGTGTCGATGCAAGACGAACAGTCTAGGGTTGAGGGTTTTGGTCATAGACCCACTGCCCGTGCTCGAAAAGAGCCTATGGCTTAGGACTGACTGTCAGCGCCTAAACAAGGTTTAATGAATTCAAGGTCAGCATCGGACGATGTACTACGTGGTCTCCAACCTCATCATGCCGCTGACGAGGAGTCGGCGACTCTCATACGCTGAGCTTGCAGGCAGGGCATTGGGCTCTTGACGGCTCCGTTCATGCAAGTCTTATATGTCATCTCGCCACGAGCGCACCGGTATGGATGAATTCCCACCCGAAGAGTCTTGCGGAAGTGCAGAGCGAGTGCATGTTGATTGCCCTGAGGTCCCCACAAGGTCGCCTGGTTCGTTTCCCACTTTTGGGGCACGTCCTTCCGCCATTTTGTCTTCAGCATCCGGAAGCATGCGGAAAGCGTGGCGGTGGTGAGCAATCACGCCGCTTCGCGCGCAAGAGCCCAGACCCACGTGCCCATTAGGGTTTAGGGTTGAGCAAGGAACCTGCCTTAGCATGGGCGGCAGGAGGGGGGTTCTTTAACCTAGAATCTGCTTTCGGATCCCTGAACTGCGGAACAATACCTGCCTGGACCTCGGCACCATGAAGATAGCACTTCATGGGTGTTGTTGGTGTGGCCAACTATGAGGGAATCTCTTCAGATGTTCAAGAGTTGTATTTGTCCTAATCCCGACCTAACCTATAAACTCCAGTGAAGGTCGATTCCTAAACCCTAAACCCTCAACCTACTATTTCTTAAGGAACCCCCCCCCAAAAAAGAGATATATATATATATAAACACATAATTCCTATCTTACCCTTATAAGTAAGAATATTTTCTCACACCGAGAGAGGTGGCTCCAGATTTTGCACGGCTGGTTTCTTTAAAGGGACCTGCTTGCGAATGTTTTTTTCAGTTTAGAGTTTAGGGTTTAGGGTTTAGGTTGGAGCCACCAGGGTTTAGAGTTTCGGGGTGCCCCTCCTAAACTAGAGTGATAGCGAAAATCGAGATGCTCAGGAGTAGCCATTTTCGCGTCCATTTAAGGTTTGGGATCCCAAAACTCTGGGGCACTTCTTGTTTAAGCTCGTGTGCTGGGCGATACAGGTCCCTAAGCCCTGAACCCGAAGCCCTGAACCCCAAACCCTAAACCCCACCTCCAAGTGCAGCCTCGAAAAGCCTTGAAAAGCAAAGGCTGACCCCTGGGCCGACCGCACATACTGGATTTGCAGCTTCAGCCGCTTTGCCTCAGTTTAGGGTTTGGGGTTTATCTAAAGCCCTTGATGAGATGGCTACACGTCTTCAGAACCTTTTTGGAGGTGAAGGTGTTCTGATCTTGAGGCACGGTGTTGCTGTTGTACTAGTGCAGCAACAGGGGCCGTATCCAAAAGGCATATTTTGCAGACAAGGGGGCTTTAAACCCTACACCCTTAGGCCCTCGCTTCAAAACACAGCACTTCAATCTTGAAGCTGGAAGATGAGTTCTCCCTGCAAGCCGCCCACCGTAAGACTACTCTTTACACGTCGCCTGCACTGACCCGGAGCAGCCGTTTACTTTAACAAACATGAACCTAAGTTCAGGCCTCAGGTCCGAACACCGGGCGCACGTGTGGACCAGGAAATTTTCGTTGTCCCCGATTGCTTAACAACAGAATCCTGGTCCAAAACGGTTTTGGGGGATGGCTGAAAGGTACGCCATAGGTTCCCCCCCCCCCCCCCCCCCCCCCCCGCCCGTAAAGCGTGATGGTTAGAGCAGGGCCCTTCCATCCCTTTCACCTACGAGCTGTTGAAAAGGATTCGAGGAAGCAGCTGCTTCGTCCCCACCCCTCTGCAACCCGTTCAGGGGATGAGGTGCCAAAAAAAACCCAAACCCCAAACCCCCAAACCCTGAACCCCCCAAACCACCCAAAACATCGCCCCAAAGGCAACAACCAGTGGAATGTGGCGGAGGAGGTGGGGCAAAGCTGGGAGGAGTCGTCCTTCTACTTGGCCTCTTGGCAGCCCACTGCTGCCCCCTTTTTTGCCCCCCCCCCCCCCCCCCCGCGCTTCTTTTTGGGGTTTAGGGTTTAGGATTTAGGGTTCAGGTTGTTTGGGTTGGTTTAGGGTTGTTTAGGGTTTAGGGTTTAGGGTTTAGGGTTTAGGGTTTAGGGTTTAGGGGTAGCCCAGTGGGGCCCTTGTTTGCCCATCTGTATTTGGGGGGAGGGGGGGGGGGGTGGGGGGGGGTTAGGGTTTATGGTGCATAGGGTTTATAGGGTTCACAGGGTTTGTTGGGTTTATAGGGTTTACACCGGTTTTTTAGGGTTTTTTTAGGACTGAGGGTTTCCCCACCCGCACGATCATGGGGGTTACTGGGCTGCCGAGGCCTTGACTTGTGGCTACTGCAGTGGAACTGCCATGACCCTCGGCTGTTTAGGGTTAAGGGTTTAGAGTTTCGGGTTTAGGCTATTGCACAGCGCGGGTTCAAAAAAGGGTTTAGGCGATTAGGGTTTAGGATTTCCAAAATCGCCTGCAACAAAATGAATTCAAGGCGCGAAGAAATAGCTTCATTCTAGTTGAATAGGTTGCTGTGCTAAGAGCTTTGAAAAGAAATTCTATAGGAGTACCCAGATCAAGCGGCCACGCTTACAGGCGTACCTATGGGCCGAACAGAGTTGGAAGACCCAGGGCACACTGGGCTGCCTCTTGCCTTACGGAGGCGTCACAACGACTCCAAGTCTTACGGTCGGATTCTCCATCTTCGCTGTGGTTGTCAATTGTAGATATGATCAATTTCTCATTCAACAAGACATATTGCACAGCAATGGGAGTTAATCTATGATGTATATAGATATATATAGATATATATGACAAGACGTTGTTGCACAGATCGCTCTTACCAGTGAGCCAAGAAAGGTGTCGGTGCTGACGGCTGCTTACACTGCAGCTTTCGCGTTAAAAAAACCAGAGAGAAAATGAGAGAGAGAGAGAGATGAATGGATCTCCGGTCCATCATGAGAGCAGGTATCTAAATTCGGGTCCCGTTTTGGGTCCTATCTATAGTACGGCACCCTCCAAAGAAGGACCCCAATGGGGACCCTAGTTTAGAGAAATACCCATGAATCAAGCTGCATTCCCAAAATCAGGAGTATTGGGCTCTCTGTGTAGGAGTACGGAGCTTTGAAGCTGGGATCCAACCTTCGGTTTAGGGTTTGGGGTTCGGGGTTTTGGGCCCAAAGGAAGAAGAAGTTTGGGCATGCGCAAGGTATCTTTTCGGGTGCCCAAAAAAGGGGCTCAGGGTTCAGGGTTGAGGGTTTAGGAGGGTAAAGAGCCCGCGATCTCCATCAGCAGAGCTTGTGGCAAAGGATCCTTGACGACGAAGCGATGCCGTTGACACGCGCGTGGTGCCTGTTCGAGGCAGGGTCAGGTTTGTGCATGGGAACTGGGGGATTTACGGGCACTTTTTCACGTGACCGCCTGCGTCACGCAACATCCATAGACCCTCAGCCCCAAACCCTAAACCCTAAACCCTAACCCCAAACCCCAAACCCCAAACCCTAAACCCTAAACCCTATCCATAGCCCTTCAGCCATCAAGGTGCTTCAGACAAAGGAGATCAAGGATCACCAGAACACCTTCCAAGGAGCCAGGGGCTTGCTTGGCGGGCTTAGGGCCTTGGGGCCTTAGGGCTCAGGACTTTTAGGGTTTAGGGTTTAGGGTTTAGGGTTTGGGGTTTGGGGTTTAGGGTTTAGGGTTTGGAGGGCTTATAGAGCCTAGGGCTAAGGGCTCGCCCAGTGGTACCCTTTTGGTCTTTTTGTTGGGTTAAGTCGCCAACCCCAAAGAGGGCACCCTTATCGTAATATGGTTACTTACTGAGCTACAATGCCTTAGGGCTAAGGGCTTGAGGTACAACTAAGTGGAGTCAGATGAGCTCCCCCAAGAAGTCCCAAGAAGAACAGGGGACCTTACTTGGGGCTGTCATGCTAAAGAGCCCTACTTCCAAGCGCACTGGTTCGTAGTCGGGAAAAATTGTGGGAAGCGGGGGCGGCGCGGTGCCGTGCAGGTTCATGCATAACCCTAAACCCTGAACCCTGAACCCTAAACACCTAAACCAGGAGGGGCGTCGAGGGTTCAAGCCAGTCTGAATCCGGGGCCTGTTCGGGGTTTCAGGATTTGTGGACCTAGGGTTCAGCCCGAGGAGGTCTGCTTTGTAGGCCGCTTTGTGGTATCCCCGAACCCGACCATGGACGTGCAACTTGGTCCTACTTATAAGTACCCATGAACCTCCAAGTAAGGGTCTTAGTGTGGGGGGTTGGTTCGGAATGAAGCAAAAAAATCCGTGGGCCCAAACTCCGATAGAACCCTGTACAAGCCATGGGCATGTAGTGTTCAGAGGGCACCCAAGTCTACGCCAGTAGCCCTAAACCCCGAACCCGAATCCTAAACCCTAAACCCTAAACCCTAAACCCTAAACCCTAAACCCTAAACCCTAAACCCTAAACCCTAAACCCTAAACCCTAAACCCTAAACTCCAGGACTGTGGCTCTGCACTGCCACGGGTGTCTTGCACAAGGGCAAGGCGGCCCCCGATCGAAGTCGGGGTTTAGGTTCGATGAGGGTTTAGGGTTTAGGGTTTAGGGTTAGGGTTTAGGGTTAGGGTTTAGGGTTTAGGGTTTAGGGTTTAGGGTTTAGGGTTTAGGGTTTAGGGTTTAGGGTTTAGGGTTTAGGGTTTAGGGTTAGGGCTTAGGGTTCGGGTTTAGGGTTGGGGGTTTCGGGTTTAGTGTTTAGGGTTTGGGGTTCAAACATGTTCAAACTTAAACCCTGAACCAGGCGTTCCCAGAGACTCCACTGCCCAAATCAGAACGGGTTCTCGACTCTAAGCGTCTTCGTGATACCTGTGATCACTTTTTTATGGAGGCTTCTTAAGCAAAATCTAGGCTAGGGTCGCCCCACCCTAAACCCTAAACCCTAAACCCTAAACCCTAAACCCTAAACCCCCTTTACATTCATAACATGCAAGCCCAGCATGGCCAGGCGGGCGTTGACGTCGCCATGCGCATCGCCGAGCGCCTCGCAACACTGAAGCTGGAGGATGCCACGGCCTCCGTGCAGAAGGATAAGGACATGAGCCATGTCCAAGGATTATTATGGGTTTAGGGTTTAGGGTTTAGGGTTTAGGGCTTAGGGTTCAGGGTTTAGGGTTTAGGGTGCAAAAGGATAAGGGCATGAGCCATGCCCCAAGATTGGTAGTAGAGTAGGTAACCTTTAACCTTTTTGGGGTAATAGATTCCCCAGCATCCCGAAGGCTAACCTTTAAGACCCCTACTGGACAACTAAGCAAGATTAGCCAGGGCAGCTCAGGTTCCGGGCACCAGAATGTGCCTTGTCAACCCTAAACCCCAGTGGAAAGGCACGAAGGTCGGCCGTGGCTTGGAAGTATCCCCACAACTTGTGTAGAGTTAAAGGCCTGTGCCTCCAAGAAAGGGTATTGGGGCTCTCCTAGGTATCGCCACACCGCTGACCCTCAAGGTCTTCGAGTTTTTTTTAATTAGGGTTTTTGGGTTTCAAGCGCAGTTCCCTGCAGCCAACGCTACTTACAGCTGCCCCATGATGGCCTGCGTACCTTGTTTCCCAAACCATCCCACAGAGCCCAATACCGCTTAACTAAGGAGTATACCTTATCAACCATTCCTTGTTTCAGTTTAAGGTATATTCCTTGGTGAAGAGTTTGGGGCTCCCTGGGCCTAAACCCTACATCCTGACTTGACCCCCTGCACTTGTGGCAATTCCCCCTCCCCCTCCCCCCCCCCCCCCCCCCCCCCCCCCCCCCCCCCCAGTTCAACAACAGTGATTGATGAGCCGCCACCCGGGACTCCAATACCCCAAAGTTAGCGAACATTCCTTAAACTCTAATGGGGTTCCTTATATGGTTTAAGGGATATTCCTTAGTTAAGGGGTATTGGAGCCTCTGGGTGCTAGCATATGCATTGTCTAGCGGCGCGCCGAGAAAGCCAGGAGTGTTTTCATGGTGATGTCTAAAACCAGTTCATGTGTTTATCATTCTATGGTTTAGTCGAATACCCCTTATATATGTAACAGTATATATATATATATATATACATATATATATATATATCGCATGCATACACTTGTTGTTTCAAGAGGACAAAAAACTTAGCACAAGTCCAGCATGGACATTTCAGGCCGACACAATCTAAAGCTCCCCAGACCAGCCAAGCCCACACCCAAAGAGCCCTCAAACCCCTTCTTTAAGGAATACACCTTAATTCATCTTTTCAATCCCTACAAAAGAATTGGTACATTCCTTAACTAAGAGGATTTCGGCCCTCTGGGTAAAGCACCGTCCAAGTAGGCCCTGGGTGGGGCCCTTGTCTGTAGCGTGCACGGTTTAGGGTTTAGGGTTTTAGGGTTTAGGGTTTAGGGTTTAGGGAGTGGCGAGCTGGTGTGCCCACAACGGGTTCGCGGCTGATCGGGAAGTGTACTTGAGGTTGAGAGGTTTTATTGGGCGCTTGCACTTCACCCTACACCCCACATCCTAAACTCCAACGATAGTCTCTTACAGTTTATATCATATGCTGATAAACCACCCGAGGCAGCACGGAAAACATATCTATGTATAGTTCCAAGGGGAGCATTTAAACCACAGTAAGCAAGGATTGACGATCTCGTCTCCCAGATGCCCGGTGGATTCAACGCCATGAACACATTTGTCAAGCACAACATTGCCGAGGTTCGGGGGGAGGGGGGGGGGGGGGGGGGGGGGGGGGTTTAGGGCGGTTCTTTTTCACCTCATGCTATATCAGGTCCTATTAGTATGTTTGTCGGGGGGGGGGGGGGGGTAGGGTTTAGGGCTTAGGGTTTAGAGCGGTTCTTTTTCACCAAACTCTCTCTATCAGGTCCTCGTTACAATCGCTACTGCTTTTATGTTTGTGAGCTGCTGCTCTTGTTATGATTGCTGTCATCGGTACAGCAGAGCGGCCCATCTCCTAAACCCTAAAGCCCGAAACTTGTGACTGGCGAAGGCACTGCTTCGCATGCAGGAGGCATTTTCGAGTGCCCCTCGGCATGGAAAGCTGCAGCTGCACAGACAAGGGAGTCGCAGAATGATGGCAGAACCCTCGGGAAAAAGCCCAAGACCACTATACATTCTGGAACAATGTTCCTTACAATGACATGCGGCAATTTGTTTTTAGTTCGGGCCTTGCCATAGAGCCCTATGATTTAAGGCATACTACTCCTTAGAATTCAGGAGGTTCTTGGGCCCCAAACCCCAAACCCCTACATCCTAAACCCTGACCCCTAAACCCTATACCCTACTCCTTCTAGTTCAGGGGTGTTCGGGGCTGTTTGGCACGCGAGCTAGGATTCTAAGTATGGTAACCTTGCCCTATTCCTAAACCCTGAACCCCAAACCCTAAGCCTTGAACCCTATTCCTTCTAATTCAGGGGTGGCTCTGGGCACCCGAAACCCTAAACCCTGTAGCCATTTTGGCTCAGAGTTGACTGGAGTCAGTAGTTTCGACTGACTAGACTGCAAGCTTTGAGCTGGTGGTTACCTTGCTTTGTCTGTGCAACATTCACCTCGATCCGGTACCGGAAGGAATGAAGTCGCAGTCAGCGCAGAGGGGAAATTTTGATTTTGATCTGACAGGTGGTGCTGTTCTTGGACTGACCAACCTACCCGAGTCGTCATCTGCAAGGTATGCGGCAAGGAATTTCCGGCCTGCATCCATGCGTGTCCAGGATGCACGTCCTGGCTCATCGGCAAGCACTCCACTGAGCAGACGCACTCCCATCCGGGTGGTGCGTGTACCAAGCGTCGGAGATCCCATGATTGATGCCAATGGAGTTTCGGGGAATTGCTGTGACATGCCTTATCTATCTGTTGTTGTACTTCAGCCCCTCAATCAACCTACAGACACTGAACAACTACAGCTTGAACTCTGGCGCTGGAGTTGAGCTACGGTTTGCCAACTTCCGACGTTTCCCTCATCCGCCAAACACTGGAGATGGCAATCACGGTTCTCCAACAACTTATCATGGCGACTGCCCATTCTTGGAATGACGCCGGATCCAACCGTGCAGCACGGGCGCGAAACTTCAATTTGGTGGAAGATCAAGTGACAGGAGCAAACACGCCCACTATAGCTGAGACTGTGCACAAAGCGATCAACATGACATGCAATCAACGCCCTTCAGCGAGACGCATCATCGGTCAGGTTGTGATGAACATGGCGTTTGATCCCACGGCAACTGATCCGGACACCGCTCTACAGCTACAAACTTCACTCGAATTCATGCAGCATCCAGGCCAGGGATCCTTTATTTACCTGCTTGATGGTATGCTCTCCTACGTCCCAGAAATACTGTCATACCCGGACTTTGCGCCTCTTGCTGGGCGCGTGATGCAGATGGCAAACACCTACACTGACACCGATCCGGTACTTCGGCCCTTCCTGAATTACTTGGCTCTGAACGGGTATCAGCAATTTTGGCAACAAATCCATCGAGGGACTGCAGAAGGCAAGCCGGATATTCTTAAACATGATACGGCACGTGCACCAGAACCTCTAGACTGGTCAGGCAGGTAATGCCACTTACCTGGCATCCCGTGCATGCCCTGTGTACCAATCCAAGAGGTCGATAATCCGGCAAACAAACTTCATGATGTCATAGAAGGGGGTGATGAGGATGACGACCCAGCTGGAGACGGGAGCAAGATCCATATTCGTAATTCACAGCTGTCCTCCCTCAACATAACGCAGGTTTGCTATGGTCCCTAGGGTGCGGTAGCGTGGTTTTTGGAACTGTTGGATCCATGTAAGCGTGGTGCTGGTTGGTGCCTACAGGATGGGAGGACAGACCCCCAAAAAACCAGGTAGCTTCCTCTGGTGTGGACGCAAACACCCTGTGACCCCCAGCTATCCCCCCCCGGAAACATGGTAATGGCCCCTAGGTAAGAGTGCCCCCGAACATGCTCCGCGGACTCTGTCTCACGCTCGCTGAAAGCGAACGCAGCATCTAACGGGGCCCTGCTGAAGCAGCGTAATGGGCACGTTGCAGACTTGATCTACGTCCAAAACCTAGCGAATAGATAGGACAGCATGGCCCGCTATCGACAGTTTCATGCAGCTCTGAGTATAACGGACGGTGGGCACCCTCGCAGAACCTGAAGATTCATGACCAACTACCCCGCTGAAGTTCAGTCTATCCCGCCGACCTCACGTTCTCCTGGGCGCCCGAGAAACAACAGACACAGCAGTGACACATTTGAAGCTGTACATCGCCCCGAAATGTTACCCTGCGGTGCGGCTGGACTGCCTGGCGAGTGGCAAAAAAAACCTCACCCTGGCCCTAAACCCTAAACCCTTCTAATTCAGGGGGTGGCTCTGGGCACCCAGGACTTTCAAAAGCTGATGGGCTCGCTCGGCCACGAGAAGCTGAAAGGTCGCCAGTCCAGGGTTAAGGGTTTGGGTTTTAGGGTTTGGGGTTTAGGGCTTAGGGATTTTGGGTTCAGGAGTCTGGGTTCAAGCAAAAAAGTGTTCTGAGTTCAGGGTTGGGGCTTACCCGAAGGCTCTTGGGCCGGAAGAACCCCAGGATTTGAGACCCCCCCCAGTCCCTGTGTCGCAGGGTCCTTGGAGCCTTAGGGTAGGGTCTCGTTTCTTGGAGGCTTCCCTGGTCCTGGTCCGGAAGAAGGCCTCGAGGTTTAGGGTCTCAGGTTTGGGGGGTTTCGGGAGTATATCTTAGGCTAGTTACATGGTCCTTGATCATGCGCCCTTTCATTTGAAGGGGGACCATTTATATACCCCTTATATACCCAACAAAGCCCAAGGCCCATACTTCAGAACCCTTTAAAGGAGGTAAGGGACCATGTGAAGGGCCCACGTAACTACCCTCAGAGTAACTGTTACAGGGGTCCTGGGCCTCCCTGAAGTGTCCCTGAGGGGTCCATGTACCTATATAGCATATACTTGGGCCCGAAAGCTACTGTATGGGAACCCCTTTCAGGCCCAAAGACTATACAGGTACATGGACCCTTAGGGCGTCATAGTTCATTCCCCTGTTTTGCGCCCCACGACCAGTGAAGGCACAGCGCTGGCAGAGGCGTCGCAGCCTTCAAAGGGAAGAGGGACGGAGGAGGAGGAGGAAGAGGAGCCCTAAACCCCAAACTCTAAACCCTAAACCCTTCCCCCTTAACCCTCAACCCTAAACCCTAAACCCTTGGGGTGGTTGTGGGGCGTGATGGGGCCGGGGGAGTATGAGGCGTCAGGACTTGGCTTGCGAGCTGGAGGTTTTTGCCTTGACAGCAGCTTACTGTCATGGCCCTAAAACCCTAAACCCTAAACCCGAAGCCCTAAACCCTAAAGGTTGGGTCAAATCTTGCTATCAAGAGACCAAGGCATGCATGCGCGTCGCCAGGCATCATATATTTTGATGATGTCCTGCAGGTTTATGGGTAGTTCAACGTAGGGTTAGAAGCATGGCAACGATACGTATCACCCTATGCAGGTATAGGGCTCTATATGACCAGAAAGCCAACAGTCACCAGGACGCTCTTCTAGTTTCTTGTTTGGACAAGATCCCCCACATCGCCCGCACCTTTGCCCGACAGCCAATTTGATGCGATATCCAAATTATGATGTGCTAGTTGCTTAAACCCCCCCAAAAAGAAAGCAATAATGCTTCAATTGTGCCTTATAAGGAAGAATCTCTGTGTGTGTGTGTTTTTGGCAGGGGGGGGTTCTTAAGCAAATAGTAGTGGTGGCCCCGCTTGTGCCTGCAACCCCTAAAGCCCTTGGAGGTTCATAGGTAGTTATCAGTAGGGTTTTTTTGTACCCTAAGGATAGGCTTGGCATTATAGTTTCCATACTTCTAGCCTTACTTCTGACTGCCCAGGAACCTCCCAGCGCAGCTCCCAATCCCTTAAAACCCCCTAAAGGAACCTTGCCGGCCTTGTGCGAGAGTGAGCGACTAAACCCCCTAAACCCTACTAAACCCTACTAAACCCTACTAAACCCTACTAACCTCTGGAGGACGAGGAGGCCGTGGATCTGTCACTCAATGGCAGTCGGTCAGCGGAACCGACACCCACGCCATGAGCTTCCAGAGCGCCGGCAAGAACCCATAAGGCCTTAGAGCGGTCCTTTCGGGTTTAGGGTTTAGGGTTTAGGGTTTAGGGTTTAGGGTTTAGGGTTTAGGGTTTAGGGTTTAGGGCTTAGCAGTTCTTGCTTGGAGGTTCATGGGTAGTTATAAGTAGGGTTATATGTGTGGTAGCTCTACTTATAACAAGTGGTTTCTGCGCACAGAGCAAGGCCTTATGCAGCATCCCAGCCCCCTTTTATCCTGCGACATCCAGCCGCGAGTACAAACCTCAAGCGGCTCGGTTGACGGCTCTTGACCCGGTTCCTCAATCAGCTCCATCTCCTACACCCTAAACCCTAAACCCCCAAGGCCCTCATTCGAAACCACTTCCTATAGTCTCCTTAAGAATCACCTTGCATCATCGTTTCTCTACTAATGAGAGAGTTGCCTAAGAACCCCCCCCAAAAAATATGAGAGCATGCTGCAGAATTCCCACATTACCTTTATAAGGAAGATTAGTTTTTTTTTTTCTCTTCGTAGGGGTTCTCAAGCAAATAGTACTTTCCTGCGGCTCTGGGATGGATTTGAGGTTCTATGGAGCCGAAGAGCTGCGGTGTAGGGTTTAGGGCTCCAGGTTCCCCCCTACTTGGAGGTTCATGGGACTTACTAACCCATTATAAGTGGTATTAGGGTTTAGGGTTTAGGGTTTAGGGTTTAGGGTTGTAAGTACCATGAACCTTCAAGTAGATAAATCTGGCAGAACCCATCATTACCCATCTAGACCTTTTTTTGGCTTTTCACATGCCCCATGCGCCCTGCCCGCCCCCCCTTTCCCCCCAAAAAAAACAAATATAGTATAATAATAATAATAAGAAGAAAAATGAATAATACGACCACTTCCTCAGGGTTCCGGATGAGAGGGCGACTGCAAACCTCAAAAGCCTACGGCCGCATGAACCACCGCAAAACCCTCAGGGTTATAAATGATACCCTCCTAAGATCCCTCAGAACCCTCCGAACCGTATACTCCCCAGACCCCAACCCCCTAAACCCTAAACCCTAAACCCTAAACCCTAAACACCCCCCCCCGCCCCAACAAGCTCTCCAAGAGCCGAACAAGTGCTGTGAATGCCTTCCCCAGCAGCAAAAGGAAGCTTGGTGGCAGGGAGCTTCCCAGCCAAAGGGGCACAACATAGGAGCTTGGCTTAAAGAACCACTGCACCAAACCCTGAGCCTTAAACTGATAGCATAGCCCCCTTATCATCCCAATTTTCCCAAAATTAGCTGCTGTAGGGCCACTGTCTCATACTCTCAGGTTTAGGGCTTAGGGCGCTCCAAGGCGATTGGGGTGTGGGGGGTTGGGCTCTGGGGTGTTCAAGGCGGCATAGTGCCACTTCACTTGGATGCAGACCTTAGAAGCAAAAGTACACGTGGTCATTTTCAAGACGCGAGGTCTCTTCCATACTTCCGTAATTATGCGTACAATAGGGTTTATACTATTCGGGGATACAGTACCTTATTGGGGTCCTTATTATAAAGGGATCCTACTTTTTGTGGGGGGTCTATATTGGAGTCCCCTATTGTTCGCAAACCCCCACATCCTGCCATCAGCTTCCTGGAAGCACACGTGCATTTTCTTCCGGAGGCATTCTTGATCCTTGTGCCGGAGACTCTGCGCCCAAGGCGGGAGTTCTGCAAGGATCTCAGCATGGCATGTTGTTTGCGGTGATGGGCCGCTAAACCCGAAACCCGAAACCCTAATCCCTAAACCCTAAAACCTAAAACCTAAGCCCTACCCCCCCCCCCCCCCCAACCACCCGTTTGAATTTGAAGCCGCGGGTGCCAAAGGCACCCGTGCACAGGAGCCTCGCACATCCTCGCACCAGCGAAATCAGGTTAGCCTTTCGAGAAGCCAGGGTTTAGGGTTTAGGGGTTTGGGGGTTCAGGTTTAGGATTTAGGGTTTGGGGCAAAGTTTGGGGTTGTTTTTGGTCTTCCCGCGCTGAGTTTAGATCTTCCGCAGCGCCCGAGGAATACAGTCCTTGTAGAAGACCAGAATAGGAATCCGCGCATGCTTTAGGGAATGTAAGCCGTACATAATCATAGTAGTTTGGCCTTATTTCTGGAACATAAAATCTTATGCAGACATAGTAGGGATCCCTAAGAAGAGTTGAGGACTTAGACGACTTTTGCCTCCTTTCCATGATTCAAAGAATGTTCCTGAATAGAATGCCTCTTTTGGAAGATCTGGGGAGGGGGAAGCACAAGGATGTCAAGGCAGGGGTTTATAAATGGTTTAGGGTGGAAGTAGGTTTTAGGGATAAGGGAGGCTTTCGGGTTGGAGAGTTTCAAGGGTAAGGGAGGAGTCGTTTTTTCCAGGGGAGTGTGGGGGCTACAATCCCGAGATCCCATGGTCTCCCGTGCGCTGGGCCAGGAATCAGGGTCCAAGGCTTTAGAGATGCAGGGTCTTGAACCTACCTAAATTCCCAGTATGGAAAATAATTCCTTTTTTCTGGGTTTCGGTTGGGATGTTCCCCCTTGTACTAGCAGTCCTTAACGGGGATCATCGTACCTCCCCCCCCCCTCCCTATTGTAATCCCAATTAAGGACCGTTAGTTTCAGGGGGAACATCCCAAGTCTCGGGCTTTGTTTACATACTTTGGGGGTCCGGTCCAGGTAGGGTTTATGGGCTTCAGAGTCTTCGAGGATGTACGTCGCCCCAAATGTGTTCGACAGGCTTCGAAGGGTTCAGGCGCGGCATGTTGTCTGCTTTCTCCAGTTGTGCTTTTTCTTGTTGGAACGAAGGATTTGTCTGCTACTTGTAGGGTTTAGTTGCAGGCTGTTCCAGGACGAAGCTGCTCGTTTCGATGCGTTTCGGAGTTTCAGCAAGGGGTGTCGATGGGTAGCTGTAGTTCCGACAGACTCCCCATGTTGCTTCTGCACCCCTACAGCAGCATGACTGCGAAGCAGCCAAGCTTTACCCCAAACTCTGAGCATACGTCCGTTGCGCATCATGGTGACCTGTCTTTTGCTCAAAGTAGCTGAACAGCAGGCATGTCACATGCAAGAGGGCTCGACGAGGTGTAGGTCAAGCCTGAATGTGGCAGGATCACAACGAGACCTTGTCTGCCTTAAGAAGCGGCGAACCTTGGTTTTGCAGGGCATTGATAACCCGAAACCCCTAAACCCTACACCCTAAACCCTGCTAGGCGGGTGGCAAAAAAATAAGACCTAAACCCCAAACCCTGACCCTACGTGCGCACTTCCCCATCATCTCCCCAAGTCTCTCTTCCCAGAGTGTCCGAAACGCAGCCTGAAGACGAGGGATTCTCGGCCATGGCTGCTTTAGATCCGACCATCACGCCGGGGCTCCCAACCCTTTTTTTCCCCAAATTGAATAGAACCCCCTTAGAGGGACCCCCCAAAAAGGGGTAACCCCATTTTCGGAAGCCCCCCACATGCCGCACCCTACCACCATGGTTATACTATGTATGTAGGGCTAGAAGTACCCTAAATAGGGTTAGAAGTATAGTTGCCACACGTACAAAACCCTACTCAGAGCTTATGTAGGGCTCATAAGTACCTTAGATTGGTCTCTAGGCTCTAAAATAGTTGCAGCACCTTTTTTTCCTCCGCATAGCTTCCCATGAGCCTCCGATCACCTGCCGACAGCATCAGGGGCCCCGAATCCTTCACTTGAAACTTGGGGATCCAGGGGAGGATGGAAGAATTCCCTAGGGTTTAGGGGTTTAGGGGTTTAGGGGTTTAGGGGTTTAGGGGTTTAGGGGTTTAGGGGTTTAGGGGTTTAGGGGTTTAGGGGTTTAGGGGTTTAGGGTTTAGGGTTTAGAAATCCCAAACCCTAAAAACACCAAACCCTAAACCCTAAACCCTAACCAGTTTTTAAGAGGCGCCAACGGACTTAAGTGTTTCCCTGCTGGCCGAGCAGCCCGAGCACTGGAAAAAACCCAACTGGGAAGTTGATGGGTAGATGCAAGTAGCACTACAACCGCCCCAAGTAGTGTTGCTAGTATACTAAGTGCTTAAGAACCCCCCCATCAACAAGACAAAATCTTCCTCATAAGGGTAGTATAGGGATTATGTTCTTTCTTTTTTTTGCGGGGGGAGGGAGGGGGGTTCTTAAGCAACAAAATAGTTCCTACCCATGAGCCTCCAAGCAGCCTCCCTCGAAGGTTCGAACCCTTGGCTGAAGATGCCGCACTCTTCGACAAGGTGGTGTCGGTCTGCATCGGCGGGGGCGCCCTGTTGCCTGTGAAGCTTAACATGAAGGCCCGTTTAATGATTAGAACCGCTTTGTTTTGTTTTTTTGGTTTTTTTTTTTTGGGGGGGGGGGGGGGGGTTAGAGTATAGTATCATCATGAAGGGACCATAAGGAAATGCTATTGGTAATCCTTTCCGACCCCCGATAGTACGCCTTTGATTCTCCTTGAGAGAGCGACCCCCCCAGACTAGAAGAAACGGCCACGAGCTATGGTTCAAGGGGAATACAAACCGAAGTTCTGCTACTTAAAGCACCCAACATCCAAGCCTCGAATCCCAAACCCTTCAGGCACCGGTCGCTTCTTGCGGGCCATGCCACGACCTCAGGATATCATCCTGAAGTTTGGTTTACATAGGGCTTACGCACTACAAGCCTAGTAACTTGAACAGGCCTGGTTGCAGAGGGATCATGGCGCCCCTGAACCCTATTGCCTTCCGAGAGGATACCGAGGTAGGCCCTTGTCCATGTTTGTTTTGCCTTCAGGAAGTCTTGAGGGATCTTAGTCAGGAGCACATCTCAGAGGGTCCAGTATCTTAGGGTTGACGTGGGTGTCAACCTACCCTAAACCTCGAACCGTGTAAACAACAGGGATGCTTTCCTCCGACGTTTCCGCGGAGTTTTCCCGCTACGAGAACCCTCAGCGCTTGACGTACTTAACGCACAAGCTCCCAGCCCTCCAGATTCCATACTAAATTGAATTTAGGGTATAGGTTTTTGGGGTTTAGGGTGTTGGGGTTTAG